AGAGGCAAGAATAAGATGAAGGCAGACACTGATCTGATTGAACAACTGCTGTAGGCAGTCGAGGCTTTGAAAGTCGGGGGGTTCAGTAAATAGCAAGTATTCGCAGTTATGACTAAGACTGTGGATGATGCTTTCCTCACTCTAACCGAGGGCAGTTCAAGCCAGGCGGAAAATCAGGATAGGCCCCGTCATGCCAGAACAGTTCCTTTTGCTTCTAACTCTGCACCCGAAAAAGATCAGAAAGCCAAGGCAGTGCCTGCCGACCCTTTCGCTAGTGCGTCTAGCAAGAATCCTCAGACTTCAAAGTACCTACCCCGAGGGCGCAGAGTTTCTCATGCTCTCTACATGCCTTTGTCTAAGGTACTTCAAATCCTGGCAGAAAAGGGTCATCTCAAACCTCTTGAGCCTCGGCCTCTCCCCAGTCATCTTCCAACGGGCCATGATGCTACTCAATACTGAGCGTATCATCAGCAGACCGGTCACAACACCGACAACTGTTTTCGTCTCCGCCACGAAGTGCAAGATTTGATTGACAATGAGGTCATCCTCCCGCCAAGCTCAGCAAAGTCTATCACCGCCGGGCTGTTGGATTTCGAGGATGGCGCAAGTATGTGATCAAGGGTTGGACCACCTGCAGGCGACGCTCGGTGTATTTCAGATGTGGTGTTTGGCACGCACCATGCTGAGCATTTGCGAATTTAGTTTTTGTAATTTCTAGCTTGGGTGTCGAGTTAGTTCTTTGTTTTTGTCTTGAGTCTGTCTCTTTGTCTTGAGTTAGTCTTTTTGCTTAAGGGTTTGTCTGGTTGTATCGAGTCAGTCCCAATGTATAGAAATCAGGTGATTCTAGGGTTGTCGCCTCGGATATCATTATTTTGTTTTGTAATTATCCTTTTTGCTTTCTTTTGAGTCTGTCTCTGCTGTGAAGCCAGTTGCAACCAGGAAATCTGAATGAAACAGCTGTGGCTATCATGTTTTTTGTGCTTACTGCTACTTCAAGCCTATTGTGCCAGCAAGTTTAGATTGAAACGGCAGTACATCTCACCTGCTCTGCTGCACCTCGAAATCATTGCATTGACCTAAGTTTTTTTCCAAACTTCTGTTAAACATTGTAGTGATGAAAACGAAGAGGAAGGAATTCCTCGGGATTTGCAAAACTTTGATCAATTGAGAGAAAGAGAGGCACGCTAAGGTCTTAATGATTAAGATCATGTTTGTTAACGTGAGTACTAAGAAGGACCCTGGCTTGATCCAGATTGGTTCCGCACTGTCTTCAGCGTGGGCGATTAGTCGCTTTCTTAAAAATTTTCAAAAAAATGTTTTGCGCAGTCTTGTGAAGACCGGCATGGAATCGCTTTTGAGATTGTGCAGCCTAGGATCGCTCTCAACCTCAAGATTCAATCCCTTTGCTTTCAAACCATGAACGTGCATTCAGAATGTTCAATGGCCAAACCGCAATGTGAGGCCCGTGTGGCCAAATTCGAAGAAACCCTCGAACAAGAGGCACCAAAGTCAGATCAAGAAGATCAGATGTTGTCAAGACAAGCTTGTGAAGCTAAATCAAAAGCGCCCCTCGAACTAGGGGCAATAATGTCCAATGCGCTCGAAGAGCCGAAGATGGATCCTTTCGCAAATCAATACAACAGCCGTTCTCCTAGATTTAGATGGCTTCAAAATCCTAAAACCATTTGGCATGGACAAAGCTACACTTTTACCCTTGAGAGGCTCGCTGGGCCGAAAACCCGAAAGGTAGACCCAGGCAAAAGTTAGAGCAAAGAAAAGAAAAGAAAACAAAAAGAGTAAAAGAAAAGAAAAGAATACAAAAAAGAAAGAAAGAAAAATGTAAAAAAAAATAATAAAAAGAATTGAAAAGGAAAGAAAAACAAAGCTCGCAAGGACAAATAAAAAAAAAAAAAAAAAAAAAAAAAAAAAAAAAAGAAGAGGGAAAACAGCGCTGCACAGGTACGGTGCAGCCACACATCCCAGTCAAAAAGTTACTCGGCACGCTGTGTAGCCACACATGCCATTAAAAAAAAAAAGAAAAAAAAATTGAAAAGAGACAAAGTGTACTGCCAGTATTGCACTCTCTTGTCAGCGAGGGCAATTTCGTAATTTTACAATTTTGTACAATATTTTAATACACATTTTTTCATAAAAAGTCAAAAAGTTAACCCAAACCTCCATATTTTTTTCCTCAACTTTTTAGTCTAAAAAGACAAAAAAGTGCACTTATTTAGGACACCCCAAACAACCCCTAATTATATGGTATATTTGTTTGCCACACTATAATGAAGTTTGCTGTTGTACTGCTGCTGCTGCAGATGCATGCTGATATTCTGTCCTTGAGTCAATTGATTAGGTTTTTTTGAGATAACTAGGATCTGTAATTGTCTGCTGATTAAGTAGCCAAGATATCTCTGGTTGTATCTAGTTGCTGGTTGATGTTCGTCTTGATGATCATTGAGATTTATGTATTGGCACAAATACCACCAACTCTGACTGAAATTGTTTCTATGGCATATATTTCAGTGTCCAAGATGATTCACTTTCTTAAACTTAGCTTGTCAAAGTCTATGAATTTTGATTTCTCAACTATTGCTTCTTCTTTTTTTTTTTTTTTCTTTTTGCCCTTTTAATATTAAATAGACCAGACAAGAATGATACTTATGAACATTCATTTAAGATGATGGAAAACCCCTTTTTTACTGTTAAAAAAAAAAAAAACATTCATTTTTTTTTGGGTACATTGGAAATTAAGTCAAACATGAACTACATCCTATCACTCTCCTCAGAGAGATGCACAATGTCCGCAACAAGGTGCAGAGTTCTTCAGGTGGTTCATTTACAATAAGAAGATTTGCCGGTTGATATTCGCCTAATTTGGCCGTTGCATCCGCACAAATTTTAGCTTCCCTTCGAATGTGCTGGATGGAGCAGTCACATCCTCTCATGATAATACGTGCATCTTCCACAATGCCCCGAAAAAGACATCTTTCTCCCAATCATCACTCAGCAGCTTCACCACTTGTTCCACATCCGTTTCTATTATCACTTGATTGAAACCTCATTAAAGCATGATAGTCAGCCCCTTGTAGATTGCCCAAAGTTCCGCTTCAAGACAGGTGCATATTTCAAGCCTTCCATAATATCCACTAATCCATGCTTCTGTTTCATCCCGAAATAATCCACCAAAACCACCACCTCCTCCATGCTTGTGAGTGCTGCCATCCGTGTTAAGTTTGATTTTTCCTGCATTTGGACAAGACCGCACTAAAATACTTTTAGCTTGAAAGATTTCTTTGGCATAATCTGATATGAGTTTAACACTCTCATGAATATTAGTAGTTTTATGTTCAAAAATCGTTTTATTTTGGTTTTTCCAAATAGTCCAGAGGGAGATGAGGAACAAGTGTGAGGTTTGGTTCTTCCCTTTCATATTCTGAGTGATCCAATCTTTCCAAGGTAAAAAGAGCTTGCTACAGTACCATTCTTTGCCATAAACATGGCACCATATCTGGATATCTTGAGGACAGAACCAAAGCAAATGTTCAATATCCGCCACGTTAGCACAGTAGGGGCAGTTGGGGTCAGAAGGAAGACCCCTCAGGTTTCTCATTTTGTTAGTAAGAATTTTTCCATGAAAAACAAGCCACAAGAAGCTCTTAAGTTTCTGAGGAAACTTAAGCTTCCAAATCCATCCCCAATTCCTTTCCTGATTATGATGATTAACAATTAAATCATATGCACTGGATGTGGAGAACTCTCCATCAGAGGATTTAATCCATCTGGGAGTGTCTTCGCCAGCATTAATTCTGGGTGGTTGTAGCTTTAAAATAGCTGCAACCATAGGTAATGACAAGGAGTTGTGCAAATGATTTAAGTCCCAATCACCATGTGCATCAAGAAGAGACTCAACAGTAATATGCTCAGAATTTGGACTTTGATTGGTACGTGTGTTCAAATCCATTTCAAAAACCCCATCACCACCACTAATCTTTCCAAACTCTCACTTTGTTACCTTTTCCAAGCTTCCACCAAACTCCCTGAACCAGGAGCTCCCTGGTATTTAGGATGCCTTTCCAAATGTGAGATATATTCTTGCCTTTCTTCTTAATTAAGAAAGGCTGTTGGCCCAAATATTTATTTTTCAGCACATCTACCCAGAGAGTATTCTCCCCAATTAACATTTTCCACCCCAATTTGGATAGAAGAGCTAGATTTTGATCTCTAGCCTTGCGGATCCCAAGAACCCCCTCTTTTTTCAACTTACACACCTGATCCCAATTAACAAGATGCACTTTCTTTTTCTCAAGGCTATCACCCCAAAGAAAGTTTCTATTAATCTTATCAATCTCATCACAAACTTTCCTCGGGAGCTCCATAGTTTGCATGATATAGGCTGGCATAGCACTAGTGACAGATTGTATCAGGTTTGCTCTCCCTGCCAAGGACAACATCCCAGATTTCCACCCAGCTAGTTTGTTCTTCAGTTTTTCCAAAATAAACAAAAAATGGTTTTTGGACACTCATCATGTAGCAATGGGGTCCCAAGGTATTTCCCCAAATTACACGTTAGAGGAATACCACACATGTTACTAAGCTGAGATGCTCTTCCTCTGGCAATATTAGAAGACACAAACATATGGGATTTATGAAGATTAACCTTCAGTCCTGAGATTTCACTGAACTCATTCAAGACTTGCAAAATAGTGTTACAGTTATGCTCGTTTGCTTTAGCAAACAAAATCAAGTCATCTGCAAAAAACAAGTGTGATATGATAGGTCCATTCTTAGCCAAGCTAAGCCCAATCCATTGTTTGCCTTGCACTTGCTGGCAAATCATGGGCAAGAGATGTTCCATGCATAACACACAAAGATAAGGGGATTTTATGATGGTTATTTTTGTAAGCATCTGAACAAAATCATTCTACATGAATTGTATGCAAGCTGAATATTTTGACTGATCATGATAATATATTGGTTTGCATGCTTAAATTTCTTGCTGGGTGACGATTCAAAGGATTTTGTGATCACATTGAAATTCTTCCACGTTTAATTATTGGATTACACGGTTATTTGGAAACCGAATAAGTTGTCTTTCTGTGTTCTGACTTGAGAAAAATTTTGAGATTGTTTATTTATTATGCTGGTTTACATGAAGGCAGGAGGTTCTTCTGGTACTGTATTTGCATGGGATCTTCGGTGGCAACAGCAGCCAATAGTTCTTTCTGGGGTTGCAGCAGGTGAGTTTCAGTCACACTCATTATCTGAGAGTGAAATTTGGGAAGTCCAGTATGACAGCTATTCTTCAAACATTGGTAACATGTCAACATCACGGGTGTTACCTGTTATGATCTGCTCAGAAGATGGAATCCTTGCTGTTGTTGAACAAGGTATGAAGTTTGTTGCCATATCTAGCTTTTTCCATTCGAGTGCTCTAGTGGAAAGGCTTAAGGTCATCTTATTTGCTAAGTGGCTGAATTCATATTTCTTGTTTTCTGTGGCAAAAAGATAGAGCTGGCACACTTAACCCGAAACCGTAAATTCATTCAATTTCACTCATTTAAACTCATCAAAATATATAAATAAACAGGTTACAAATGAGTTGTATACCTGTTGGGTTGATCTGGTTAATTTGTGAAGTTAATGGGTTGATAGGATTAATTTCCCATACCTATGTACCAAATTCAACCCAACTCACTTAAACCTATTTATTAAATGGTCTGAATTTTTAAATGCATAATTCGTTTTGACCCATCCAAACCTTTTGCCTCCTCTACGAAAGGAATACTTGCTTCGGACAATATGTAACCTCTCTTATCTGGTGGTTGATTTGTTTCACACTGTTCCTTTGCACAGGTGAGGAACCCATTGAACTCTTGGCTGAACCATGTGCTATCAACAGCTTTGACATTGACCGACAGAACCCCTCGGTGATGTGTTTTTTCTTCTGTCTTTCTCCTATACTCAGTTTTATCTCAGAGATGTACAACATTTTGATCTTGGTGATAAATTACTTTGCTATGTCATGTATCTGTGGAATTGCTAAAAATGACAGATGATTTCAATTGTTGCCATAACAGGATGTGATATGTAGTTTAGAGTGGGAGGCTATTGCCATCTTGATGAGGGCATAATTTCTGAAACTAAGATGAAGAATTTGGTGGCATAAATAGGATCTGTTCATTATCCTTTCAGTGTATCTTAAAAAGTGAAAGTGATGATCTACTTGGGGGAAAAAGAAGCAGCACATCATGATTTTGGGAAGATGAACTGGTTAGCTTCAGTGTGTTCTGGAAACCAGCGTATGCACCCAAAAATTAAGGTTTATAGTTATGCTCCATCTTATCTAGTAGTACAGAGTACAGGTGGCTTTTTAACAGCACCAGACTGAATCCATGTTGTTGGAAAAGTAATTGTTCTAATCTTGGGCCATCTGCTTTTGTTTTGAAAGACATTGCTAATGAAACACTAAAGCCAGGGACCCAAAAAAAGTTGCCATGAAAACTGTTCAGAGCACTAGTGCATGGCTGAGATTGATTTATTGTATTGTGGGGTTCATGGCTTAGATGAATTTTAACCCCAGAATGCTGTCGTTGGATAATATTTATGGGTTTGTAGCATTGTTGCGAACGGAATGCAAGCTGCAGTTGCAGCTAACTATGGCTTGGCCCAAGTTAATTGCTTTTAACTACATTAGTAAGGTTTATTTATTTATTTATTTTATGTCGTTTTCTTTTAAGTGCCTTTAGACTTGAAATGGGGAATGGGTCAAATAAGATTTAATTATTTATTTTACTGAAGACAATTTGTTTTTTTTATTTTTTATTTTGTTGCCTTTTTGAGTGGAAGGGAAAATTGAGAGTGTTTTATCAACAATAATGTTAGATTTACTACATTTTTTTATTATTTTAAGTTTTTAATTTCATCAACACAATATTGGTAATAAGTTCCATAACTAATGTATATTTGTAACGTAATATCATGTATATATGTCTAATGTATTAATAATTAGATTAATAATACATATGGTAAATAAGAATGTAGTATCAAATGTTGAAATTGTGTATTTGTGTATTTTTTTTTTTTTGGTTATTTTTTATTGGTGAAAATTAGTGGTTAGTTAGATTACTAAGATCTCATAAAGGAAACTTGTCAATTTAGAAAAGAAAAAAAAAAAAATAATGAAACGTTGAGTATAATTTTAAGTGTTAAAATTTATTAATTTAAAAAGTGAATGAGCACTATCATAGAAATATTAAAGTATACTAAGAAAAAATAATTTTTGAAGTCACTATTTATACTTCATTTTGTTTCAAGGAAAAATTACTCATAAATCTCATATTGGGAAATGTTACTCTATCTAGTCCTGAGTGTTTTTGTAAACAATGTAGTCCTTTTTATATTTGGTATGGTATCTTTGTTTGTTATATTGTATAAAAATCAAGCAATTTCAATCCAATCAATGTGAGCGAGTTCAAACATCGACTATATCATCAAACATTATTAACATCACCAACATCATAAAACATCATCGACTACATCATACGTCATCAAAATCACCAACATCATCAACTACATCATCATACGTCATCAACATCACCAACATTGTGAACAGCATCAGACATCAACTACATCATCAAACATCACCAACATCATTAACATCATTGAACATCAATTACATCATCAACATCACCAATAGTTTCATTAGTCGCACTACAATTTCAACCGGAAATTATGATTCCAATATGTGCATCAACATACACTGTTATAAGACCAAGCTTTTTAGACACTACAATTTCAATGAAAATTATGATTCAACGGACACCAAATAATAATATACTAAAAATCCCAAGGTCTAAAATTACTTCTTTTTGACATTTATTCGAACACAAAAGAGGCATTATAGTTCCATTTTCTGTTTCTATACTAGTTCATTTACATTGGCAAATTTGGCACAAATTAAAATTCCAAACTTTATGCCTCAAATTTGCTGATAAACATGCAATCATCAAACAATAAACGAATTGGGTCAATCTAGTCAGCTAAAAAGAATATCAAAGAAACCCAAATCAAGTACTCATTCACCGAGTAACAAAACACCCATTAGTTTTCCATAATCACATCCATATATAAAGAAACGACTGACTCGATTAGGTATATTGGGTCTGACCCAATATGGGTCGAAATCTGTTTGATCACTGGAAAAGCTTACCTAGTTTGATTGTGAACCTCAACAAGATGTAGTTGATGTTTGATGATGTTCACAATGTTTAGTGATGTATGATGATGTTTGATGAGGTTGAAGATGTAGTTGATGCTTGATGATGTTCACAATGTTGGTGATGTATGATGATGTAGTTGATGTTTGATGATGTTGATGATGCTTTATGATGTTGATGATGTTTGATGATGATGATGATGATGTTTGATGATGTTGATGATATTGTTGGTATAGTTAATGTTGCTGATGTTCGAAAAGGAGAGAAATCTAAAAAAGGCCTGTAGTAAGCTTTTAACATTCAAATAAGACTTATTAGTCTACAAAATAAAAGGCAGAACCAAATGATTTAACAAATTAAAATTTGGGATTTATTGGTGTTTTGCCCTTGTTTCAAATGCACTTCTTTTCATTTTTTTTTTTTTTTGTTCATTATATGTAGTTACTATTTATACTCTATTTTATTTTAAATAATTTTTTTTTATGTATAATAAAGATAATATATATATATATATATATATATATATATATAATAAATTTGAAGTATAGTGAAGAATAGTGATTTTTTTTTTTTTTTTTTTTTTTTTTTACTTAAAATGTGTCATGCGGTGGGCAAGCCCAAGTCTGGACAAAAAAGTCATCACAATGGTGGCACGCTACAGTACATTTTCTCTTGTTAGTTCCGTCACTACAATTAGAAATTAAGTGCTCGTTTGGCTAACATTTTGAGATTAAAAAATTATTAAAAGACAAAATAAGTTATATATATCAATAATGTGGGGATATATTTCTTGAGTACCAACATGTGGCCAAGGTGACGCCGATGTGTCAACTGAGGTGTCACGTGTCTTGGTCGTAACGCCGAGGTTATCTCTGAAGATATCGAAATCCGGGATAAGTGGATAAGGGATAAGAGTCCTAGTATGAGGAAGCATTTCAGCTTGGATAAAGATAAAACTCTTAGGGAGTTTATCTTTATCTATTGAAGAGTCCAAGATAAGCACTGAGCTAAAGTCCATTGAAGCTAAGCTTCTATTGGGACTAGGATTGAGTTAACTATAAAAGAGAGGCACTCCCGTGGGTCTAAGGTATGCAATTTATATTCAGAATAGTGAGTTAAGCACTATTTATTATCTTCGAGAGATATTTTATTGACTTGATCGTCGGAGTGCTCTCGGATGGACAAGCCACCGCCGTAATCTCTTCTTTCTGTTGCAGGTTGTTTGGGCTTAATCTATTCTGCCGGTGAGTTGGCAGTGTGGTCGGAAATTGACTCACACAATTTGGCGTCGTATGTGGGAACGAAAGAAGAATAGATGGCCAACGACGGACAGAAGGAAAAGGTTGGGGACGAAATCCCTACTGGGAGCGAAAAACACGTTGACCCTAACATGGAGGAGGATGGTTGCAACAAGGAGACTCAGGACCAAAATCACGGTAAGAAAGACATCAGCCAGGAGGGCAACATGCCAAAGACGACGGATCGGCGCAGGTACAACATTGAGAACGACCTCCAGGTATGGAAAGACAGATGCCTGCGAAGGGACAAAGAGGTAAAAGAGATGGCAAACAAATTGGCTGACCTGTAATCGGTCGTCCATTCTATGATGCAAAACAACGTCATGCAGCCACCGTTCCCGCTGCAGGACACACCGATTCCAGCAGCCAATGCCCAGAAGGGGGGGCAGAAAACAATCCATATAGCCCCTCAGCACACTAGGAGTGAAAGACACTCTCACCGACCTTCAAAGGAGGTCGGGCGAGGAGAGTCAAGAAATGAGGAATCCCGAAGGACACATCACACCAAGGAGGCAGACCCCAAAGAATATCGGCATGTCCAAAGGCAGGCGCTATGCTTTGACACAACTAATGGACAAAGGTCGAAGAGGGCTCATAACGAAGCAGAAAAGTAGTTCACCGAAAAGATTAAAATCAGGAGACAGCCGAGCTCCTGGGCGAACAAAAGAGGACCTAAGAGATTACCTCAAGAGGAAACAGCAAGATGCCGAGGTAACTTCCCCTGTTAAGCCGAGAACATCATTCTCGGTGGAGTTGGACAAATTTGAGGCCCCAAAAAGATTCAGTATGCTGAGGTTCCAAATATATAACGGAAAGTCAGACCCCAACTTTCACGTCGGATTATACCTGAACTCAATGGCACTATACAATGGGAATGAGCCGTTGCTCTGCAAGGTGTTCCCTTCATCCTTCGGGGAGATTGCATCAGATTGGTTTCACAAACTGTCAAAGGGAAGTGTGAAGACCTGGGAAGGCTTGGCCGAGATGTTCGTGGCCAGGTTCGTGACGAACAAGCTACAGCCATTAAGGGTAGACGCCTTAATGGCTCTGAGAATCAGCAAGGATGAAGGCCTTCGGGCCTACACTAAAAGGTACTATGAAGTGTTCAACTGAATACCCGAGTGCAATCAAGAGGTGGCAGTCGTATCTTTCAAGAACGGCCTAAAAGATGACTGTCCATTATGAAAATCTTTGGCAAAGACATTGCCAAAAAGCATAGAAGGGCTCATGGCGAGGATTGAGAAGTATGCCAGAGCTGAGGAAGATACGTCAGGAGCCAAGGAGGCAAAGCAAGAGAAAGGAAACGGCTCGCCGAAGCGAGGCTGAGTTAGCAACGGATCCAACAAGAAGGAGACAGGACTGAGGGCTACACAGGCAGTCACGACTGTGTTTCGAATCCCAATTCACAAAGTCCTAGATAAAATCCAATCCTAGCCCTATTTCAAAGCACTAGCTAGGGTACCAGGAGGATTTATGGAAAGAAATCTGGGTAAGCATTGTGCTTACCACAATGAAGATGGGCATTTGACTCAGGGTTGCAAAGCCCTAAAAGCGCACCTGGAAGACCTGGTAAGGCAAGGCCATTTAAGGGACCTTGTAGATGAAGCCAGGACAAGGGAAGAACAGGCAAGACTGCCTCAAGCACCAGCAGCTTCGCCTCCCTCGGCACCAGCAGCTCCGCCTCCCTCGGCACCAGCAGCTCCGCCTCCCTCAGCACAGCAACCACAAGCAGGAGGACCTCGGGTAATTAACATAATTCACTCGAAGGTCAACGAAAACAAAATTCGAGGGGAGACCCAGAAGGTAAAGCACTTGCAGCACGTATACCAAGTCAGGGAAAAACGACATCAGGCCGAGGAGTCCCAGGGACTAGTAGTGTCCTTTACTGAAACCGACCTCGAGATGGTACAGCATCCACATAACGATGCCTTGGTAGTATCCCTCCAAGTTGGGGAGTGCAAGTGAAGCGCATCCTGATTGACCAAGGCAACTCTTGTGACATCATGTACGTCAGGTGTTACAAGGAGCTTGGCCTCACCCAGATGATATGGAGCAATCAAATGGCCTAATGATCGAGTTCAATGGAACACCGACATGGCCACTGGGAGCAGCAAGCTTGGAGGTGCAGGCTGGCACCAAGAGGATAAAGACAGAGTTCACCGTAATCGACACACCCTCCTCTTATAATA